ATATTAAATGTTTGGATGTGGGTTGTTGCTGGTTTTTGCCTTTTGCCTGCTTCCTTAGTTGGATTTGTTGCCACACAGACTGATCATCTGTGTGATACCTTTGGCTCACTTAATAAAGACTTTTGACTTTGGTTTTCTGTGTCCAGCTTTTGGGTCAAACTAAACACCAGGATAAGTTATGATTTAATTAACACAAATTTACAATTCATGGAGGCAGAGAGCAGACTTTTTAAATATTGGCAAGAGCACTCTGATAAGGAGATTTCAATTTTGAAATATTGTAATTCTAACATGTGATTGTCAGGCAGATTATTTTTTGTTTTTGTTGGCAGATAATCAGGTCGCCGTACTCTCTAATGCACTAAATATTAGGATAAGACTTTATTCATTGCACAGTGGGGAAAATTTGCAGTGTTGCATCAAAGGGGGAATTGCAAATTGTATGGAACATCATTAGAAAATGAAAAAGTATCAAAAATATACAGAAGTACTGATTCTTTCATGTGTAGATATTCAGATGCACAGAAAAAAAAAATCCCCAAATGTGGAATATAACATTACACATATCAGTGGTATAGCACATATTCCTCCATAAGTGGAAATATTGATGGAAAAAATACTGATATTGCACATATTCTTGTATATATAGAAAAACTAATGTTGTACACTGAGTTTTTAATGACTGAAATATGTTAGTTTCTCCATGTTTGGTTCACTTAGAGGTTGTAGAGTTAACTGTTAAAACTGCCAGATGTGTACAGATGGAGGGAAAAAAAGGTTTAACTCATTACATCAACTGTCAGTAAACACTTAAATAAAATAATACAACAGAGGGACATGAAAATGTTTAATGACGTTTGGTCAACTGAAGTCTGCGACATGTGATGGAATGAACCATGTAGCCTGGCCAGAGGGGGGTGTGCACCGCTCACTGTTTAACTCTGGGAGAAACGGTGAGTATGAAAAAGGAATATCTTGTTCCATATTACAATGACAAGCAGTTTGAATGATGATACCATTAGAAAACAGGCTTTAGCTTTTGTTTAAAGCCAGATCACCGAGGGTTCAGTAGGAACGTCCCCCTAAAATACATCACGTACGATCAGTGAATAACAAACTCAGGTTAAAACTCAGCGTTCAGCTGTAGTTTATAAAGAAAGATGTTGAAGTTAGTTATCGTTGGTTTTATTCTATTTTGTCGCGTAGCATTTCCAGGTAATATCTGATTTCTATATATATTATACCCTATCTGTTCTGTCCTGTCTGGATGTGATGTATTTTAACACCCCATTTTAAAGAGCAGATTTATGCACATTCAAGAGAAATGTCTTCTTATTTCATCCAAAAAAAGTGATCTAATCTGAATTCTAGAAAATTTCTTCCCTTCCTCTCCCTCTAGATATATCACTAAACATGAGGATGTGATTGCTCTTGACTGCCATACAAGCAATAAATAGCAGGTGGCTCTTTAACCATATTAGCATTAACCTCAAATATGTCAACAAGACAGGTAACACTAGCTGTTTATACTAATCCTCTAACACTGGCAAAATTAATTATATTAATAATTAATTACTCTAAAAAAAAATGCATATTGTAAATCAATTCATCTATTGACTATCAATTACCAATAATCTCAGATTTGTCTCTCTGTATTTACATATACAAATTGCCCGCTCAGTATTTCCGGGAACTGGCTTCCGTGTATCACGTGACCACCAAGCGTCCTGGATCATGGTTCACACCTAATGGACCAGGTGCAGTACGGCTTTAGAGAGAAAACGCCAACATTGCTACATAGGAAAACCAAACAGTCCAAAAATAACT